ACGCGCGCCCCGACGGCCGCTTCGAGTGCCGCTGCCCGCCCGGCTTCGCGGGCCCGCGCTGCAGGTGCGGACGGTCGCGGCGGGGCGGCGGGTTATCCGAGCGGGGCGGGGCCTGGAGGGGGGGGCAGAGAAGTCCCCGAGCCCGTGGGGACCCCCAGGGCAGCGGGTGGGGCAGTCCCCGGCTGCGGATCCCTGGCCCTGCGGGCCAGTCGCTGCCCATCTCTGAGCCTCCCGGCCCTCGTCTGTGAACTGGGGCCCACAGTCCAGTCTGACAAATTTACAGATAAAATGCAGATTAAAGTACGCACAGCTAAATTTGCATTTCAGATAAACGGTGCTGACGTCTGGGATGGGGTGAGGGGACCCGGAGCTAGTCTTCGACGATCACCTGGAGGCTTTCCCTAGGAGCCGCCACCTTAGATGTCCATGCCCCTATCAGCGCCACGGGTCAGGGGCAGAGTGGGGTGGTCGGTCTTTGACTCTACACACTCCCTTCGGAGCCGAGCTTGTGGAGGGTTGTCTGGCCGCGGCCCGAGGCCCCCTCTCCCCTTAAGCAGTGTGCCGAGGAGAGTCCTTCCCTTTCACGGGCTTCTCTGAGACTCAGAAAGGTTCCCGGTCACAATCTGTAGTGGGTGGGGCAGGAGCCGCAGAGTGACAGCCCTGTGACCCGTTCCTCGCACTCCAAACACAACGTCCATGACTGATATTGAGGTCTGTAGGAGGTGGGCCCTGAATTCCACAGATGGGAATAGGCTCAAGTCGCTTGTGGCCACAGGTATGGGCCAGGTCCCAGGCGTCCTGCCACAGTCCAGTCTTCTGCCTTCTCCCCAGGTTGCCTGTCCTGCCCGAGGAATGCAGCCTGAACTTCACCTGCCCCAATGGAGGCCCCTGTGAGGGCGGGCCCCGTGGCACCAACTGCAGCTGCCAGGAGGGCTTCGCTGGCCGGAGGTGGGTCTGGGTTAGTGGGTCTGGGGTGGATTTAGGTTGGTGGTCTGGTGAGTGTGGAGAGTGGGGTGGGCTCCTGGGTCCCCTCCAGCAGGGCAGGGGAGGTGAGGTCCTTGCTCACCTTTTCAGGTGCCAGTCTTCCATGTCACTTGAGTTCTTTCCTCTGGGGCTTCAAGACCATTGTCTGTTATGCAGACACCTGCTGGGCAGTGGCTGCCTGGTGTCGTTTCTTGGAGCCAGGTCCTCAGCCCGCTGTTAGGACTGCCTGGGGATACGGCACAAGTACCAATTCTCCCTCCAGACATTGCAGTCAGCATCCCTGGGCACCCACCTTTACACAGGCCTTTCCCTTGTCATTGTGATGGAGTGAGTCATTCTCCGTCCTGAACGCTGGGGTGCAGATCACATTCAGCGTTGGCACCTGGCAGGCCCAGCCAGGCAGGAACGTTGCATGGGACAATGGATGGATACGCTTTGGCGCTTGGTGGGGGTGGTGGGTTGGGGAGCTAGGGCAGCTGGGGGACAAGAGGCAGGGGGGTGGCAGCTTTCTCAGCCACCGTCCTTCCCCAGGTGTCAGAACCCCACCCTCCCTTGTGAAGTCAACCCCTGCTTGAATGGGGGCACCTGCCGGGCAGCTGGTGGGGTGTATGAATGTACCTGCAGCGCCAGATTCTCCGGCCAGTTCTGTGAAGTGGTGGTGAGTGAGGCGGGGGAGGGGGCTGCCCTGTTTGGGGCTTTAATGAGATGGTGTTGAGGTGGGGGATGTGCACAGCACCTGTGCAGCCATTCCTGGACCAATCTGTCATGGGTGGGGAGTGGTGGGAAAGAGACTCAGGTCCCTTCCATGCCTCCCAGGCAGGGGGTATTTATTTTCATGCCAGGGAGAGCTTAGGGGCCCCACCATCCCTCAGCGAGGACATGAGGCTTCTGGCCAGGCACGGCTCAGGTGCTTCTCCATAGTGCCCAGGGCAGTGGCAGTGGGGGCACTTGGGCCGGCCAAGTCCGAACTGGGACGAGGATTCAGGGCCCACAGGAACTTGGAGTTCTAGGATTTAGGTTGGTGAATCCAAGAGGCTATAATCTCCAGGGTTTCTAAACCGGGGTTCTGGAGCCAGAGCAGGCTTGGCCACCGTGAAGGTGGTCCCTGACCCCAGGGATCCCAGCTGAGGAGGGGCCTGGATGGATGGGGCCATCAAAGTGGTCCTTGGTCCTCTTGCCCCCTACTCCCTAAGGGGTGGAGCAGGCCTTGGGGGCTGGAGGGGCAGTGAACCCACCGCGGGTGCTGGCAGGAGGGACTCGGGAAAGGAAGTCGGGGGAGCAGCCTTGATCTCCACAGGCTTCTGGCAGCCTGGGCCATAAACCGCAGATCTCCTCTGCTTCTGGGGAATGTTTCTTTTCAAGTTGAACTTTTACAGCCTCTGGCTTCCCCACCCACCCTCCTCCCAGGGCAGGGGGGAGGAAATGGCTTTATAGCTCCCCCAGAAGTGCCCAGGGGTGGCAGCGGGTGAGGGCCCACTGGTGAGGGCCCACTCAGGGCTGGGAGGAACTGTTCTCTACAGCTTTGGGACCCCTTCTGCAGGGTGCTGGGGGTCCTGGTCACAGTGGGCTGAGAAGCCTCCAGGTAGAGAGACTCGAGGGCCGGTGAGTCTGAGACTCTGTGGCTCTGGAATCCTGTGATTCTGGGACTTCAGAATTCCAGGCATGTAGAATCTTTGATGGGGGCATCTTGGGAGTCTGTGACTGGAGACAGGGAGGAGGTTTGCTGGGCCTCCCCAAATCTGGTCTGAGTCTCCCAGGGACCTGCTGTGAGCGCAGCACTCCCAGGAAGGCGGCCCTCGCGGGTGCTGGCCTTGCCGTCCGCCGGGCTCCACCCGCCCCGCTCTGGCTCCCGCTTCATCAGACTGTAGCAGGGTTGTGTGAAATCCCACACACGGGGCTTAGCTCATAGTAGGTGTTCAGTAAATGTTTTCTATCCTTCCAGCCAGAACCCCATTGTTGGACAGGACTCCCCTTGCGGTGGCTCTGACAGGGGACTTTCTGGCACCTGCTTGCATACTCCTGGGGCTAGGTCTCTCTCTATCTTGCAGGGAAGCCTGCTCCCAGATCAGATTTTCTTGGAGCAAGACCTTGTGTCCCCTGCTCTCCCCTCTCTGAAGGGCCTGGGGCCTCCCGGCTCTCCACGGTCCCAGGCCTCACTGTGTGTCTCTTGCAGAAGGGCCTGCCCCTGCCGCTGCCGTTCCCGCTGCTGGAGGTGGCAGTGCCTGCAGCCTGTGCCTGCCTCCTCCTCCTCCTCCTGGGCCTCCTCTCAGGGATCCTGGCAGCCAGGAAGCGCCGCCAGTCAGAGGGCACCTACAGCCCGAGCCAGCAGGAGGTGGCCGGGGCCCGGCTGGAGATGGACAGTGTCCTCAAGGTGCCGCCCGAGGAGAGACTCATCTAGGGCAGCCTGGCTGCTGGCGCCAGCACCATGGAGATCCTGGACCATTTCTACATGGAGACCCAAGGAGGCTGCCTCTAGGGCCTGGACACCCGCTGGGGAAGTGTCCCCTAGGCTGGCAGCCCCTGCCTCTGCCCCGTTGTGGACTGAGGAAAAGGGGAGCAACTCAGGGAAGCAGAGGGCCCTGGCGAGGTTGAGGACTTTTCCATCTGACCCGCTGGGCTTTGCCTCAGCAGGTGTCTGGCTGTGCGTGGGCGGGCACACGGTGGCACACGGTGTGCTCAGGAGTGTGTGAGCGTGTACCTGGGGACGTGTGGGTCTGCAGCGTTCAGTGTGAGTGTTCTGACGGGCTGGCAGGCGTGTCCGCTGCTTCTGCTGTGTGTGTACGTGACTGTGTCGTGGGTGCAGGTATCCCCAGGGAGAGGGCAGCTGCACCGGGGAGACAATCTTTACCTCCCTGGGGCAGGAGCGGCCCGAGGCTGCTCCTTCTGTAGGAGGCCAGACCAGGGCTCGCTCAGGCACCAAGCCTCCAGCTCTGGCATCTTCTTCCACCTCCAGGGGCTGCCCCTGCCTGGAGGCAACGGAAATCAAGGGAGGCCATTAGCAGAGGCTGAGTGGGCTCCTGGCTCCCAGAACAAATGGTCCTTCAGACAGATGTCTCTGCCCAGTGCCAGAGGCAGTCTCTCAAGGGACCCACAGCCCTGCCCCATGTCTGTCCAGGGCAGACCTGCAGGAGCAGAGACCAGGCTGCCCTGAGCTCTCCCACCTTGCTGCAGTCGTTTGTAGGATGGGGAGGGCACCCCCTGCCTACCTCACAGGGCTGTTGTGAGGACCAGCGAGGACGACAACAGGGAAGGAACTGGAAGACGTTCATCTCCCGTCTCATGTGAAGGACTGGGTGTTTTTTAGGTGTCGGGCAGTGTCATCTCACTGGCCAGAGAGGAGAGAGTGGGGAAGGAGCCTTCCTGGGGTTCAGCAGGAAGGCCACAGGCGTAAGCATGGGGGAGCAACACTTCCCGCTCCCCGACCCCCACATCCTCACCCGACCACCCCTGCTTCTCTGGCTCAGGCCCTGGTGGCTGCCTGCGGGCCAGGTGCCCGTGTCTGGCTGTGGCAGGATCTGGGGAGAGGACTGGAAGGGAGCCCTGGTCGTACAGGGCAGGTGCAGCAGACACTGGCACTCTGTGTGCTGAGGCCGGGCCTGCAGGGACAGGCTCGGCTGCTTGCTTCCCATCCCTTCCCTGGTGACGCCGGTCACACTGTGACCTCTGGTCTCAGGGGCACCTGCCCGAGGGCCTGGCCGCCTTCCAGCTTCATGGAGTCCCTTTATCCCCTATCTGGAGATGTGCCTTTCACCTTCCTGGTTCCCAGGCCAGTGCCTCCTGTGAGGCTCCAGGTGCCAAGGCCGGGACGGGAGACCCTTTTGAGCTTTGAAAGTTGGAGGCTGACCTTACCTGGCTCTCCTTGTGGTTTCAGCTAGCTCCCAAATCTGAGGTGGGTGCTGGCGGGGGGACTGGGGATCCAGCACAGACTGGGATAGGGAGGGCCCTGAATGCTCAGCTAAGCGGCTTGCTTGGTCCTTATCCCACGGGAGATGGGACCACCCTTCCTCCAACTTTCTCCATGACGCTTGGGAAAGGGGTGAGGAAGAACCTGGTACCAACAACTTAGCCACAGCTGGTTCCTCGGTTAGTTTATGGAAGTCAGGGGTTTGGAAAACCTGTGTTAGTTGTAGACCCCTAAGAAAAGACATTTTATGTGGAACCTCAACATATGGATAAAAGCTGGCTGCTCTTTTTTTGGAAGCACCATGTCCTCTTCCTGTCCTTTGCTCCTGCTGCCACTCTCAAGGACAGCCCAGGGAGGAGAACACAGCCAGCTGATGGGTGGACAGTGTGTGTGACTGGGTGTGTTTAACACCCACCATGGGTGACTGGCCCAGATCCCCCTCCAAACACAAGTGTCCAACAGAGGCACAGCCCTTGAAGTTTGGCCCTTGCTGAAGAGAGATCCGTGGGGTGACTTTCCAGATGTCCCTTTGAACTTGTTCTTTGCTGCAGCCTGGGTGCCCTCAACACCATCAGTGGCCTGCAGCCCTGTCCCCAGCCTGTCCCCAGGCCCTGCTTATGAGGGGATGGGGGTGAGTGGCTCAGAGCCCCAAACGGGCACAGGCTTGGGAGCGGACTTTCCAGATGTCCCTTTGAACTTGTTCTTTGCTGCAGCCTGGGTGCCCTCAACACCATCGGTGGCCTGCAGCCCTGTCCCCAGCCTGCCCCCAGGCCCTGCTTATGAGGGGATGGGGGTGAGTGGCTCAGAGCCCCAAACGGGCACAGGCTTGGGAGCGAGCCGGGGTTGCGTCCTTTCCTAACTGCTCCATGCCTGCCTCCACCACCATGGGAGGGGTGGGGAGATGGCTGAGGGCCCACACAGGGCCTGGCCTCCGCTCCCAGAGCTTCCGCAAGGACACAGGGATGCTGGCTTTTTCCCCAAGAAGATTTTATTGAATGCGCACACGAAGTTCATCCTTGGGTTTGCAGATTCAATCCAGCAAGTGAAGAGACAGCAGTGCTCGTGAGAACCTGGAGTGTCCGCTGCCAGCCCGCAGCACAGCTGTGCCTCATCCTGTGCCTCATGGGCGGGGGCTGTCCATGCCGAGGGTGGAACTGGAACTGCTGAAACACCTGAGTGCTCAGGAGGTGCCCACGTGGCCCATATGTGACATGGCTCCCCCCAGCCAAAGAACACTCCTGAGACAGAGAGGAGACATGTCCTGCCGGTCCCGGGTGACTCGGGAAGGACTATATGGACTGTGCGGGGTGGCCTCAGACTTGCCGACCCACACAGCAGCGGCAGCCTCTCAGACATGGAGGGGGCTCCCCGGGTTGATGGGGACCTCAGGGGACCACCTTGTTCTCGTCAGGAACCCTTGGGTAGACTGTCTGACCATTCACAATAGGAAATGAGAAATCAGGTCAAAATGCTCACAATTTCCTGCATGTCTCAGCTGGTTGTTTTCTTACATGGTTGAGCGGTGTTTTAACTTGGTTTATTGAAATGAGTCAATTTCAGGATTCATCAATAAGGTAAAAAAGGAAAAGAAAGATAAAAGAAACAATAACAAAACATTTCAATTTAACTTTGGTGACGCGGCCTCAGGAATTTCTGTGCTGGGGAGAAGCTGCAGGCAGGTGGAGAGGGGCTGGCTCCCCCCCACCAAGTGGACAGAATTCAAGTCTGTCTACTCTACCGGGGCCCGGACAAGGGGCTAAGGGCCGCTGCCTGGTTCTGACACACGGAGCCCAGGCAACTCCCACATCAGTCTGTGGCATTAAGCTTGGCCTTAGAGTTGGGATCTGGGTCACTGCTTCTTAGCTCTGCCCACAAAGCCCAAGTGACAAGAGGCTGAGCCCCTGCTTTGACAGTTGACAGGAGAGACCAGGAGATCCTGGAGATATTGGAGTGACAGAGGGCTGGACAAGGGCTGGGGACTCCTCTGAACACTCTGGTTCACGGGTTTCTGTTTTTCTTGCACAGATCAGGATTGCTGGTGCTCCCTGCCCCACTCAGGGCTGCAGGGGCTGGGTTGGCTATCACAAGGGATCCCAAGATCTCTCAGTCCCAGATCCTACCATGCCAGAAACGACTGGAGTTTGGGGGTTAGGGTGAAGACTCATAAAGAACGTGCCTACTGCCAGAGACAGTTTGGAAAGGACCTACCATGTAGATCCTCCAGCCAGGGAGGAGTCCCTACTTCAAACCCCAAACCACCCGTGTCCAGTACAGACCCACTCACACAGAGGGTAACACTGACGCCTGTGCTCGCTGAGGTGGGGTGTGCAGGGTGGTAGTGACAGGAGAGCTGGGCTTGGGCAGGGACATCTCCAGACAGGGTGGGCAGGACATGGCCTGGGGCAATCATTGGCCCAGCTGACCTCTTTAGTGCAAAACCCAACTGGGTGCTGAGGAGGGGTGGGATGGGAGCCCAGGAGCTGTGTGAGGTCTAGGCTGGAGCCAGTACCATTCCCCAGACCTCAGAGATGGGCAGTGTGGAGGGGAGGCGAAGGTGGCAGAGGTCGGTCCCATCCCTTCCCACCAGCACAACCTGGGCAGAAACAGAGTGGGGGAGGAGGCAAAGGCCCAGCCAGCCTTGGAGCCACAGTGGTGGACCTCTCAGGCCTTGCTCACCCCCAGCCCTCAGGGACTGACTCACTCAAAGGTCTCCCACTGCTTCCTTAGCTGCTCCACTGAGCCCGGGGCCGGGGCTGGGCTCACGTCTTGCTTGGTCTTCCGTAGCAAATCTTCAAAGGGGTCTCCAGCCTGACGAGAAGAAGAGGGCTCTGGTGCTGGCTCTGGGCCCTGGGGGGGTCTGGGAGGCAGGCGTGGGGGTTCTCCAGGCCTCAGGGCCAGCCCCTGCTTGACCTCAGCAGCCCTGGCACTTGAGCGGGCCAGAGGTAACGTTCGGATCCTTGAAGGGGCGACTGCTGGGGGGCCCAGTGGCTGCAAAGGGCTGGTGTGGGTGCCCATGGGCATCTGGCCAAAGAGGTTGGGCATGGAGAGGGCAGACAGGTTGGGCTGAGATCTGTGAGGGGCACAGCAGCCGGAAGTGGACAGCAGCAGGCTGGGTGCAAAAGCTGGCCCCAGGGAGGTGGGCGGGGCCCCGAAAGGCCCGGCTGGTGTGGAGACCAGGGGCAGGGTGGGCGGTGCCACCGGCACAGATGGGACGAAGGGGTTGAGTGGTAGCTGTGGGAATTGGGTAGGAGTCCCTGCGGGGGGAAAGCTGAACTGAGTGAATGGGGTGGCAGGGCGTGGTGGTAGGGTGCTACTTGACCAGGCTGTGTTAAGTGGGTCCAGGAGGGCGAGCAGGGCATCGCTGCCTGTGCTCGCAGCCCCTGGGGCTGGGCTGAGTGGCTGGAGCAGTTCGGGGGGGCCTTGGGGGACAGCACTGGGGAGGAGCCCCGGGAACAGGGCAGGGCTCATGGCGGCTCGCCTTTCCTGATCTGTCTGCAGCCGCTCTGAGGTGAAGTCACCGAGGGCAGCGCTGGCAGCCTGGAGCTTGGCTGGGCGGGCAGTAGGTGGTGGAGGCACGATGCCCAGCTCCGGGGTCTTCCTGCCCTGGGGCCGGGGAATGGTGATGCTGCCTGAAGTGGGGGTGGGCGCCTCCTCCTTGCTGAGTGGGTTCAGAGTGCTGTCCGAGTTCAGGGGTCTGCAGGGCAGGGCTGGGGAGTTCCAGAGCACGGGTGAGGTCTTCTCAGGGGAGGTGGCTGGGGGCTTGGTGGGGATGGCCATGTCGTCCTGGCCCAGGCTCCAGAGCTTGTTGTATGGGTGGGCAAGTTTCAAGGCCACTGTCACCCCACGGCTCTTCTCGCTTCCGCTGAGGTCCAGCCTCTGTTGAGAGGGAATGAGGGAGGCAGTGACCAAAAGCTGACCTGGGGCAGATGGGAAGGAAGCATGTGCCCATTGTCATGCCCCTCCTGTGTGCTGGGTGGGCACTGGGACTGCAGTCTCAGGCATAAGACCCATTAGCTCCTAGGACCTGGAGCAGTTGGGGGCTCATCCTAGGTGACCAGCAGAAAACCCAGGTCTGTCTGGACTTCAAGCCCAGGCTTTTCTCACTGTGAGGCTCAAAGGAATTCGAGAGAAAGCTCTTGTCCTTTCATACCACTGGCTGGCAAGTAGTTTTAGGAAAACTACTCCATCTACTGGCCCGACTCTTTCTACTTTTCAGAGCATGTGACACCTTCGATCACCCGTAAGCCCAAGAGAGCAAGAGAGGCTCAAGGAGCCTTGGCAGGGATGGGAGTGATCCCACTACTGCCATGGGCCAAAGCCCTTCCTGGGGGTCTTGGGGAGAGTGGCCTGGAGCACCAGCCCACCTGTGTTTGATGCAAAAATGGAAGTGAGGGGAACAGTTCCACCAGGCTCTGTCTGGCATTTTCTCCAGTGACTGTGTTTGCAATCCAATTAACCCTGAGCATTTGCTGAGGACCTTGGAAAAGTTGCCGTTTCTCCCTTAGTCTCCTCCAGTGTCACATGGGGGGACCTGCCCTGTGTGCAGACAGCACTGGCCCCCAGCAGATACCTTCCCTGTCTACACCATACCTGATAGTCAAAGGTCCCTGGCTGCTCCCTCAGGTCTTTGGGCACCCGAAGGTCCTCCAGGCTCTTGGCCTGGCCCAGTGGCTGCAGTGGGGCATCCACGTCCAGACTGCTGAAGACATCTTCCAGGAGGTCAATGCTGGCAGCTCGGTCAGGTGGAGCTGGGACAGAGCCCGTGGGCTCCCTCACTCGCTGCTCCGGACTCTCCGCCTCATCACCTGCACTGTCTGACTCCTTGAGTGTCCGATATGGCTGTGGCCTGAGAAGAGACAGAACAGGCTGGGTTCTCCCACCCAGGACCTCCATAGGGGCAGCAAATAGCCCCCAGCTCCTGAAAACATCCAGGCCTTGAGGAGCACCCAGGAGCCTTTCAGATAGGAGAGTGTTCTGGGGTCCCCATGAGGGCAGGAGTCAGGACAGCAGCCAGGGTACGAGCTGGGCACTATGACTGACCGGGGGCTGAATTTGGGTTCTGCCTCTCATCCTTGACCTTGGGCGAGTCACTCTGGCTCTCACTTGCCCTGAGGGAGCCCATTTATTTCTCCCTAAACCACATGTCCTTTCACGCATCCTGGTTAGTCAGCTTCTGAGCCATTCAGACCAGGTGTGAGGAATGGGATGGGACTGGAAGGGAAATGCACAGGCAGGCAGACATGTTCCTGTTCCCACCTGGTGCCCACATCTGGTGACTGGCAAATAGCTTCAGAGTTGGGTCCTGTGAACAGCTCATAGGGAGCTGAGCTGGGGAAACTCTCCAGAGGGCAGCTGCCAAGAGAGCCCCAGGATACTCAGGGGGGACTGTCTGGGCCTCAGCTTGAGCTGACCCTGGTTCCAGCTCTGGTCATGCCATCTCTTGCTGTGGGACTTGGGCAAGTCACTTAACCTCTCTGAGCCTCAGTTGCTCAGGTGATGGTCGTGATTCCATGAGCAACAGTGGTGCCTGGCAAACAGCAGGCATGCAGAGGCTGGTACTGCACCTGCAACCCGCCAGTGAGGGTGGCTACCACACGGGCTCCATGCTAACAACTTTCTGCACATTCGCACTTCAAAACCTTGCAGCCGACCCAAGTGTAGGTAACAAAGGGTTCCTCTTGCCTTCCTTTCCACTGACAGAGTCCTAGGGCACCACTGGGCACGTGGAGAGGCAGTGCCTGGGGAAACCCTGACCTCTAGTGGAGCCCCAGTCTGAGCAGGAGGCTGAAGCTGGCTGTGGCCCCAGGGTCCTTGGTGCTGGTAGAGTGGGGGAAGGGTGCCACCTGCTGGTCAAGAGCAGGCGCACATGGAAGGCCCCCTGAAGAACCAGGGCGGGGACAGACAGGGGAGGGCTGACGGACAGTCCCGACTACGGGGAGGAACTCCATCGGACTGTACTATCTCACTGAAGCAACACGAGCAGCCTCATTGTAAATGAGGAAATGGGAGCTCAGAAGAGTAAGTCCCCTACGTCACACAGTGCCCAGGGAGAGGTGGAAAGGGAGCCAGGTTGGCGAGACTTCAAAAGCCCCTCCCTCACGCTGACCAAGCCATCTGACCACAGAATTAAAGATCCTTTGATCAAGTCTAAACACAACGAAAGGGAAGAAGAAAAGTCAGGGTGCTTCTTAAAGAAACAGTGTTCTTTTTAACCTGTTTTGTTTTGAGTTAGAATGGGCCAGTTCCTTTTTAAACACACATGCATAGGCCTGTACCAACCTCTCAGGTCATGGGCTACAGAAGTGAGCATGAAGCCTTATTTAAATAATTAAGGCATCAGTTAATTAAAAAAGAACATGATGGGGCTGGGTCTTGGCCTTGGACTTGAGCTGCTGGACTCCTCGATGGGAGAGTCCTTGGATGTCACCCAAGCAGGATGCCTTTTCCTGCAAAGTGATTTTAAGTTGATACATGGATAAACATTTCTTATTCCAGTGGTTCTATCTTTATTCTAATTAGTAAAAAAAAAAAATAATAATAATAACTAATACATTAAACCTATGATATTATTTACACCTAAATGATATTATTGCTGAGGACAAGGCTAATTTTTAAAATTTCTAAAAGAAAAAAATTAAAGTGAAAGTTCAATGTACAGAACAGATGGCATGTGAAGCTTGGGCAATACTGGCTTAGGCCCCCACTTTCTAAATGAGGACACCAGGAGGGGATTGCCCTGCCTGGGGCCACAGGTGGTCTGGTCACAGGAAAGGGCCAGGACCCTCCTACCACGTGGAGGCAGTGGCAGGAGGCAGAGCAGTCTGAGGTTTATAAGGTCCCCAGAGGATCCCATGGGCCCAGTCCAGGGGGAGGGACCTGATGCTGAGGACTTCTACTGGGGTTTGGGAACAGGGACACAGTGAAGGGGGTTGTGAAGGGGATGGAGGAAAAGAAAAAAATCCCCTCTTTTGTAAAATGGCAAAAACTACCCACTCTCTGGAAGGCTGTTGTGGGCACCAGGGATGTTCAGCAAAGGGTAGTTTCCCTTCCCTTAAAGCTTTCCATTAAAAACACTTACACAGCCTTGTTCATAAACAAAGACAAAAGCTGTCTCTTGGCTCAATCCCAGCTCTGAAAAACTTGTGGGTGAAGGAGCAAGGACTGGCAAAGAAAGGGGACTAGAAGAGCTTAATTTGGGGGAGGGGGCTGGATTATGGGTGAACCTTTCTCTTCTCTTCTTTTAGGGGACTAGAAGAGCTTAATTTGGGGGAGGGGGCTGGATTATGGGTGAACCTTTCTCTTCTCTTCTTTTAAAAAATTGCTATTTGTAATTACTATGAGGCTTAGGCTATAAATAATAGGGATCAAAGTCACCTTTAACAAGTCAGGCGGATGAGAACGTTTGGATGTGCTGGCATTCATGCACACTTTCCACATCAGTAATTATTTTTTAACTTAAAATCCGACTCCCCATGTCCATGGCTTTCCAGGATGTGCGGAGATAAAGGAGGACTCGGGGACTACAACCAGGCTAACGGTATCTACCACTCCATGAACAACCAAGAGCACCTTCCTCTTGAAAGGAAAGGGGACCAATGCTGCTGTCTCACCCTGTCACCTTGTCCCATCATCACAGCCCCTGGGGCTGGCAGAACGGACTCCCTGGGAGGAGGCACTCGAGGTAGCATCCACCCTGCCAGCTGGCACTGGGGCACCCGGCAGGTGGCAGCTCCAAACACCCCTCCCCCCACACAAGGGCAAGCAGCACGGCCCCCCACGCCCCCCATGCAGCCCCAGAGAGTCACCAAGCAGAGCTCAGGGAAGCGGAAGAAGGAAGGAGAGACCATTCAAAGGGAGCGGAGAAGAAAAAGCTTTCGGTGAAGCCAGAGCTCGTGCCCTCCTGCCGCTGGCATTCATCGTCAGAGGAGTCTTCGGAGAGGAAGACTGCATAGTGTCGCAAGGGCTTTACCAGGCTGGGGCAGAGGAAGACAAAAGAGAAGAGAACAGGTGGTTAGGGGCGCTGTCGAGCTCGGCGTGCGGGTGGGAAGCTCCTGCCTGGCCCTGGCCTCCCTCTGCCAGCCTAGGGTGGGGGCTCGCAGGAGGGGGCCAGGGACAGCCCTGAGGTGAGGAAGCTGGTCCCAGATAGAGCAGAAACTGAGGATGTGCCATGGATCAGGAGGCTTAAACTCATGACACAGGAATCCCATTTCCACCTGGACAGCCCTGAGTGTGGCAAAAAATGATGCCCAAAGACATCCATCACTGCTCTGCTTATAACAGTACAGGATGAAACAGCCTAAGTTTGCAGCAATAGGAATCTGGCACAGTTGGCTGAAAGTTATCCTCCCATTAAACATGGTGTCAATAAAGAAAAACTTTAGAATTAGATGCAGAATTGCAGTTATACTGCATTCTCTCTCATCTACTGATGGAAAAATGCATAGAAAAAAGACTGGAAAGGTTCGTGCCTAAATGTCAATAACAGCTGGGGGAGTGTGGGTCATTCCCCCTGCTTCTTTTTACTTCTTTATAATGAGCATATCTACTTCAGTAATCAGGAAAAAATAAAAAAGTGAAAGAAAAAAGTGAGCCACGTGGAAAGGCAGTTGCGAGAAGGCCCTTTTCTGATTAGCGGCTGCTCTCTGGAGTCTCCCTCAGATGCCTCTTCAGAGAGTCTTTTTCATCTGTGATGTGGAAATTAAATATTCATCGTTATAAAAAATACATCTCCCTTGTCTGCCACCTGTGAGTCTACCTCTATAAACACAAATATACATAGCCCAGAGAACTCCACGCCTGGCTCCTATGAATTATATACTGACCAGGGCCCACGAGAGGCCGTGTGCTCGGGAGAAGGCAGCTGGACCGGGCAGAGCTGGCTTCAAACCCCACCCCGCCATGGCTGCTGCTCCAGCCACAGGCCAGGGAATGCGCGTCCACGCCTCTGCCCATTGTGTGGGCTGGGCTTGCTCTGAGGGTCCCTGAGAGGCAATGGTGAATTTTGGGGAGAGGTGGGAGAGGAGACAGAGGGTGCCTACAGCGACATCGTGGGCTATCTCCTCTCCCCTTGCACCCCAGCCAAGGCAGTCTTCTTTCTTTACTTTATTTGATGGGATTCCTTTAAAGTTTTATTTCAGGAAAGGGCAATGTGTCCAAAAAGAGTACGAGACCCATGGCTGGAGGGTGAAGGAGGGACAGCAGTTGTCCCCTAGGAATTGTGACTGGGCTTTGCCACGATTTGCCAATGCTGGTGCTAATCCAGTTGTTACCCAAAGTGGCTCCCAGAGCTGCGGAGTGCCTGACACTTCCACACCTGTGCCTTATCTCCCATCGTCCCTGGAGGCCAGCCAGGCAAAGAGCCTTGTCCTCAAGGCTTAGAGAGGGGAAGCCACACACGAGGAGGGTCACACACTAGGAGGTGGTGGGTCACAGCGCTCCGCTCCTCTCTGCTACTAGACCACCTTGCTGTTAGGGATGAGATCCACCTCGGTCTTCTTGGACTAGGGAGGGCATCGGCCCCCGAGGGGCCTTTCCTCAGGCCTCAGTGGAGAGGGCAGAAGATCTGACTCACAGGAGTGTGCCCCAGCCAGCCTCGGGGCAAGGCCACCCGGCTCCTGCTACGTCCACAGCAAACAAGGCAGAACAGAAGGGCCACCCTCCACACAGCCACTGGAGTCCTGTTTTGAATCACAAATCTGACCTTGTCACTCTCCTGCTTAAAAAAACCTGCAAATCTGCCATTCTCAATCACGACGTTGCTGCAATTGGTTGTGCGGTGAGTAAATCCATTGGGGAAAGTGTTAGCAATAATAATGCACAGAATCTGCAGAATGATTTGTCCGTTTA